TTGATATGAAATGTAACATAATAAATATGTATGTTTGTTGCATGCCACACACAAGTTTTGTACATTTCGAAATGTGTTCCATGTTAAATGATTCATAATAAAAATCATTAAATTATGATCATTCCGTCCGACCATGGACAATGGTCATTTTTGAAATGTCACATTAATGATGAAGGGATGGAGGGGGTTGTTTTGGTTTGCCTGCATAAAAGGCAGCCGAAATAGATAGCATGCTGTGAAGAGATTGGAGTCAGCATTCAACTGAAAAATAAATAAATCAAATTTTAAAGAGCTCTAAACGAATTAGCTATATTCTTTCATGTTGACGATTTGTATTATTTAATTGTAGGATTCGAATTCATTGTTGTTTTGTAGGATTCGGCTCATCTGTGTTTGGAAAGATTATGGTATCGGAGTATTCACATAATCTACAGTAATATCATGACCTTTTTTAAAATGCACACCTCGTAGGAATCCAATCGACTGATTTATGTATATATTATTCTGAAATTCTAGTAATTAATTTACAGTTCCTGACTTTCACATGAGAATTTATGAATTAATATTGAACTTTATTATGAAATTTCAATACATCTATTCAATACATCTGGTGTATAGTACAGCGACCGGCTTCAATCCTGATCACCGGAGCATTAGGAAGTACACCACAGGTAGCCTTGAATGCAATCTTGAATCTCCAACCACTGGACATTCTGATTAAATTTCAGGCGGCCAGGTGTGCTATGAGGCTCCGGGAAACAGATGCATGGAAATCGCTGAACTGTGGTCACTCTAGTATCCTAAACATAACATAATGTTCCATCTCACATAGACTTTAATGACATCAAAGTACAGTTTCCTAGTAGGGAATCCTGGACTAGTGGCTCCTTACCTCTGCCAGGTCTGTCATTCTTTACAGTCAAAGATGGAGGAAGGCACTGGTGCAAGCGTTTACTGTAGGGTATTAGAAACATATAACTCATAAAAACTTAATAACCTTTGCAGCGTTTTTCAAGCAAAAATCCTTGCAATCACGAAAGCGGCCGAGATATTAAAATCACTTACTGCCGACATTACGTGACTATATATGTCGATAGTCAGGCGGCCCTTAAGGCGGTGAAGTCGTGTAATCCTTGCAATCACGAAAGCGGCCGAGCGGTCCTTAAGGCGGTGAGGTCGTGTAATCCTTGCAATCACGTAAGCGGCCGAGATAGTAAAATCACTTACTGCCGACATTTCGGGACCGGTGACTATATATATCGATAGTCAGGCGGCCCTTAAGGCGGTGAAGTCGTGTATCAGTTCGTGATTGCAAGTCCGCTCTAAATGATATACGACAGATAGTTAGCTTATGTTGAGTTCCAGGACATAGTGACATTGAAGGGAATGACGAGCTTGGTCGAGGCGGCTCACAATCGTCCAATCTTCCGATTGAGAGGTCTGTGAAACCACCCATTGGCTATTTCATTGGCAAAATCCGCTTGTTCTACTGCGAGGTAGTCGGCAACAGATGGTTGAGAGAACCTGGTTGCAGTATCTCAAAACCTATCTGGCCTGAATTTTCTCGCAAAAGAACGTCCTCGCTGCTGGCACATAATAAGAGAGAGAGAGAGAGATCAAAACCATTGTGGGGATCATAACAGGTCACTGCAAGAATAGATCTCTCACTTCGAAGTGTGACTCCAGCGGAGAGGATTACTGTCGTCTATGTGAGGACGAAGAAGAACTAGAAACAATTGAACATATCCTCTGTAAATGACCATCGCTGATTGGCAGAAAACATAAACAGTTTGGAAGATAAGATATTCTTCTCTAAAATAGACCCCAACCAGATTCCAGGCTTTGTCAAAAATCTGAGATGGCTAAAATAACCATTTCTCCACTCGTCTTCTCTCGCTATCTTTTCTCCAATGGACATTAGTCCGAGTGGTTGTTACTAATAACCATACATTCCGTACAGAAAGTTCTCTCGTAGCAAGATGTGAGTAGATTCATTTGATGTACCTCAAACAATGAAAATAAAAAAAATCTGTTATTGTCCTTTTACACATCTCTGAAATTTGAATTAATAATGTCCCAGCTGACATTGGGCGCCAATTTCTGCAAATGAAGTAATAAATTATTACAACTTTCTGAAATTCTCCCTTTCAGCCAGAAATCAGAGCCAGAAAATACCCTGTTCCACAATATGGCTTATGAGGTTGGAGGCTGTCCATGAATCATTCGCATTAAGGGAACCCACTTAATTTGAGTTTCATATTCCAAATATTTGGGCACCACCTTAATAGATCACTCTTTTTTAGAAACTTTACAAATAGTTCATATTTGGGCGCCAATTCTGATTTGTATTAAATTAGTCTAGTGTATATTGATATCGATGGGTTGAATTGGGAAGTACGATGGCCTCTGCACTTTCATAGGATATTTTGAGGGATTTGATTATGAATCCGGATGGAAAGTTACATTTCACTGTGTCTTGTATAGGCAAACATTGTGTTATCGCTTTAAAAAGTCAGAAGCTGCACAGATCTATTCATTCGTTTCTATCCAGCATACATATCTATCTGGAATCGAACATTTCAACATGACTTTCCTGATTATTTTGACAACGTGAAAACAAAACACTTGGGCGCCACTTTGCTTTGTTAAGAGTAAACAAGTAAAAAAGTGTCAGTCGGTGTTACCGACAGATATATACCCTCAGGTCTTCGGAATTGCACACTGGTTTTATTATAAGATATGTTTTTATCAAAGAGGTTTCAGATTTGTATTGACGATTTTGTGGGGGAGGTACTAGAAGGGGTCCACTCCCCATGTCCCCATGTTCGAACTTGAACTAAGTTCGAGAGTTATCGCAGCGGGCCAGACAGACGGACATTTGTAAATGGACTACAAATTTTCTGAAACGGTTGGACAAAATCCGTTTCAGAAAGTTTGGAGAAATGTGATCCAAAATTTCGATGAAGCACATTTTCACCTATCAAAGTCATGTTTTATGTATTTACGTACGATCAAAAATCACTTGTAGCATGGTGGGAATATATTTTGGTACGATTTCTTTCTAAAATCGTAGTGTAATCCCTGGTTGGAATTCTAGGTCACTCTTTATATGTCGTTCACGTTTGGGCGCCAATTATACGAGTAGTTGCATATGACGTACATTTTAAGAGTGGTTGAATAGTATGTCTACATTGGGAGATGCGATAGCATCTGTGCACTCACAGCTTATTTTGAAAGTTTTAACTGAACTTTCGCTTTAGAAAATCAATCTGTTTTTAAGGTCTGTGGCCTCATTAAACTCAACATTAAACCAGATGATCGGAAGATTTCTCGTAGCAATATGAGGAATTGTATTTTAGAGCGATCTTTAAGATACATGGGGTCAAATTATGAGTTTTGATATCGATGTCATCAAACTTGACATAACCGCATCCGATATCTAATGCGAATCCAAATTAGCTATCGAAAGTCAAAAAGAAAATAACAAAGAAGAAGAAAAATTCGCTTTGCATATTGATATAAATCGGGTTCGGTATACTCTTGCATCTAAAATTTCAAACATTATTATGTAATTCCGCACAAAACCAAATTCTGCCATTTTTCGACTAAGTTTTTCATGGCGCAAATTTCTCCATCGGGCCTTCAATATTCCTACTCTCAATTATACTCCTGGCAGAAGATTGAATTTTATTGAAAGTTCATATGAAACTCACACTCGGGCGCCACTTTAACAAAATCTTTATTTCGGGAGGCTCAAAAATAAAATTTAAAAAATCACCTCCAACAATAACATACGCAATTTCCCGCTTTAGTTGTGGGCACAAATTATTATTGAAATAAAACATCTGTACCGAATCTCTAATGAATAATAAAATATTTGCCGAAAAACGACAATAATTGTTTGCCAAATCTCGATAAAGAAATTTTATATTTGTCTACCCAATGGCATTTGTTACTTATGCCTATCAGCGTGGAATAAGGATAATGAGAATGATAATCATTGGAGCAAATAAAATATGCATGCTTGAATGAATACGACCACGTATGAGATACCATTCATATGTGTCGAGACAATAAACCAGTAATTAGGATTGTAAAACAAAGAAGCTCCTAAACCATTTACAGATTTTATTTAATGATAGGTACGAATAACAGATTTATTTTTAACAGTTGTTTGTTTAATTTGTTTTTAGAAAAAACAAATATATTTATAAAACAATAATATTTAATATAAATATTAATTTTTTAATTTAATAGTATTAATTTAATTTAATTTAAGATAATTTTACAGTTTATTCATACATTTTATTTAATAATTTATATTAAAAATTATTATATTTTATAACAATTTTAAATTAATTCCTTTAAAACGTCTGTTACTGACACTCACAATGAAATGATAATCATTATATCTCTATTGTGAATGACTATTTGGCGGGAGCAAACATATGACGCCGTCATCACAATCACATTGCCTTTACTGTCTTTCGTCTTCTACAGTCGACAAACGATGTTTTCCCTTTTACCGACTAATGCTATTTAATTTATAATCAATTACATTCCAAACCCCCCAATTGTTAAATGGTCACACCTTAAACAGCTGATCGTTTTACGTCAGCTAACTTCTTCGTTGTCAACATGCATATAACAACGCCGTCACTCGTTAACATTTCAGTATGGCTCTGACTGCAGCTGCTGTGAGTGTTTGTGTTGTAAACAATACGGTTCTCGTTTAGGCTCCATCCCACCTCATTCGTAATATTTCGATTATACCACTTTGAGTCCATCTTTATCGGTCATTTTGTTTTCTCCTCCCATTCGTTATCAGGTGGAACGTTTTTATTTTTTTCTGCAGAACAAAATCACGTTTGTTTCACTAGGGATACGTAGTCGTGAGTAAAAGTCGATTTACTTATCCCTATTTCAATTTCATTTGGCGAAATAGTAAATTGCAACAAGCGTCTTTAAATTATAAGTTTTAAATTAATCGCGATCGAATAATGTCTGGCTTTTCATTTGGAGCACCAGCAGCCGGTAGTACACCGGCAGCACAACCAACAGCTGGTTTTTCATTTGGAGCACCGGCAGCCTCAGCGGCGCCAGCTGCACAGACAACAGGATTTTCATTTGGAGCGCCAAAAACCACAGCTGCCCCTACGTTAGGAGGCTTTGGAGCACCAGCTGCTTCTGCAGCGCCAGCTTTTGGTACAGCAGCTACACCGGCATTTGGTGCACAATCTGCAGCACCCACCTTGGGTACAACAACAACACCAGCTTTTGGCGCAACCCCGGCAACATCAGCACCGGCTTTTGGCAGTACCTCTTTTAGTTTTGGAGCACCGACAAGTACGGCAGCAACATCTACGGCGCCAGCGGCGGCTACAGGTTCCACATTTGGTTTTGGGGCCGCATCATCTGCTCCCGCCGCCAGTGCGGCACCCATATTGACTTTTGGTGCCGGCACTGCTGCAACTTCCGCGGCTAGCACTTTACCAACCTTGGGTGGACTAGGGGGAGCAGCTGCAACTGGAACGAACTTTTCTTTTGGCAAACCGGCAACCACAACTTCGGCCAGTTTAAATTTCGGCACAAACACCACAACCACACTTGGTGGTGGAGGTCTTTTTGGCAAACCCGCAACAACAGCAGCGCCCGCCACTGCACCAGCACCTTTTGTAGGTTTGGGAGGCATTGATGTCAGCTCGAATAAACCCAAACCTGGCGAATCCAAACAAGATATTAAAGTCAAAGAGACACAAGTACCCGATGAAATAGCCCGTACCGTCGACTCGCTCAAAACATATATTAAAACACAAAAAACCCTGTCCTCCGATATTGGTCGTACATCCACCTCGAAATTAACAAATGTCTCCAGTGAAATAATGAATCTACAATGGGCCCTACAAGAAATCGCAAATTCCGTTGAAGCCAATTACAATCAAATTAAATTACTACGCAAAGAAACCTCCAAAACAATACAATCTGTGGAAATGGCTCAACGTACCCAGGATACCCCAGTGGGTTTACAATTCGAAAACAATGCCCCCTTCCAATTCTTTCAGAATTTAGTGGCCAAATATGAACATGATTTAATAAATTTCCGTCAACAAATTGCCCTCACCGAACGCCATATGCACTCTCTGACCAATCCACAAAATGTTGCTCCCGAAGATCTGAAGCGAGGTTTCCAACAAATCAATGAAAGTTTCATTTCTTTAGCGGGACGCCTGCATGAACTCCATCAGAAAGTGGAGGCTCAAAAGGAACAATATTTAAATTTACGTAAATATCGTTTACGTGATAATTCCGATGTCTTTGCCAAATTAGATAAACCCGAAGCGAAAGTGGATACCTCACGTATTACGGCAGGACCAACACCATTCTCGAACATCACAGCGATAAGTAATTTTGGTAAATCATTTGGAAATACAACACTCCACTCGGGTACCCAGGGTTCGGCAACCCAGCAGGGGAAGTAAGGAGGTTTGTTTTGAGGAAGCAAGAGTATCTAGTTGAAGAAAAACTGGCAATTTCCGTTGTCAATATGGTTTGTGACCATATTGGATATTGCCGTTTTTGTAATTTTAATTTATAAATAAAAAAACAAATGTTGAAATTTTATTTTTGTATTTTTGTGTAATATAAATTTAAATAAAGAATAAATAAATTGTATGGATAAAAAAAACGATTTGTAATTATGGGATACTATGGGCGAAAGGAGGTCTTCAATTATTTTTCTTTCGTAAAATTCAAAGACATCGCCCAGACGAGGCGGCTGAAGCTAGAAGCTTGATATTTTGAGTGTGGGTTGTTGTTGATGTGTAGTGGTGAGATAAGGCTGGGTTTTTGGAAATTCAAACTAGAAAGGTACGAAAAGTACTAAAATGTACCAAATATAGTACCCTTTGTATTAGTCGAACGGGAAGAGCTAGAATTTGGAATGTGGGTCACTGATGGAATGTTAGAAAGGTGTACAAAAGGGTTTTTGGAAATTCGAACTTTTAAGTGTACGAAAAGTACTAAACGTTACTAAATTTTGTTCTAATTGTATATATTTTGAACATATATAGCTAAAATCTTGAACTTTTGTATGGAATACAGATTGGGATGTGGTGTTGATGTATGGGAATGGTTTAAGATATTCGTACTTATATGTATAAAAAGTACTAAATGGTACTAAATTTGGTACTATTTGCATTTAGCTGAGCGTAAATATATGGAATCTTGAAAATTGGAAATAGAACTACTATTGGATTACAGGATTGAGGTAGCTTTAAAAAGTTTAACTTATGTTTACGAAAGTACTAAATGGTACTAAATTTGCTGTAAGTTGGATTTGGGTGAACAGATAGAGCTGGAGTCTTCAAATTGGGAATTAAACTGACAGTTGGAGTGTAGGATTGAAGTAGATTGGAAAATTTGTACTTATTGGCACGAAAAGTACTATATGGTACTAACTTTAGTACAATTTGGATTTTGCTTGAAAGGATAGAGCTGAAATCCTGAAATTTAGAATAAAGATTACTGTTGAAGATTGACCTATAAAGACATCTTTGGAAATTCGTATTTATGTGTACCAAAAGTACTAAACGGCACTTGATTTGGTTCAATTTGGATTTGGGTGAACGGAGAGAACTGGAAACCTAAAATTTAGAATAATGGTTGCTGTTGGAATATAGAATTGAGATATGGAAGCATAGTATTTATGTGTACTAAATGATACTATATTTGGTACAACTTGATTATGTGTGAACGGATAGAGCTGGACTCCAGAATTTTGGAATTAAAATTACTTTTGGAGAGTTGGATTGGAAATTTTTAATTATATAAGCAAAAAGTACTAAATGGTAACAAATAGTTTACAAATTGGTTTTGTGCGAACGGATAGGGCCGAGATCCTGAAATTTTGAATTTAAATTACAATTACAAAGCAAGATTGAGAATCTATATTTGAAAATAAAATTACTTTTAGAGTATAGGATTTAAGCAGTGTTGGAAATTCAAACCCATAAATACGAAAAGTACTAAATGGTACTAAATATGGTACAATTTGGAACTATTTGCACGAATAGGGCTGGGATCCTGAAATTTATAATTTAAATTACTGTAGCAATGTGGAATGGAGGAAGTTTTTGAAATTCGTACTTACGTCTACGTAAAGTAATAAATGGTACTAAATTTGGTACAATTTGGATGTTGGTGAACGGATAGAACTGGAATCTTTAAATGTGGACTTAAGAGTATTATTGCAGTGCACGACTGAGGTAGTTTTTGAAATTTGTACTTATGGGTACGAAAATCACAAAATTTGGTACAATTTGGACATCGGAGAACGGGTAGAACTCGAATCCTGAAAGTTCCAACTTAGGTTACTCTATTAGTGTAAGAAAAATACAGAATGGTACCAAATTTGGTATAATATGTGAAGACAGAGCTGGAATTCTTAAATTTGGACTTTGATTACTATTTGAAAGCAGGATTGGAATATTGGGATAAGTTTGGAATATAGGTACGAAAAGGACAGAATTATACCAAATGTGGTATAATTTGGTTTTTAATGAACAGACGGAGCTGATATTCATAGATGTGGTCTTACGATTACTATTTGAAAGTAGGATTTAAGTAAATTTGGAAATTTGTACTTATGAGTATGAAAAGTATTAAATTTGGTACAATTTGGGCGTTGGTGGAATTAGGATTAATTTAGTTTTAGACATTTTAACTTATGAGTATGAAAAGTACTAAATGGTACTAAATTTGGAACCATTTGGATTTGGTTGAATCTTGTGATTTGGAATTTAGATTAATGTTGAAGTGTAGTATTAACTAGTATTAACTGTAGTATTAAATTCATTAAATTTGGAACAATTTGGATTTGGCTAACGAAGAGAGCAGGAAACAAAAAATTTGTAATGTGGGTCACTGACAGAGATTTAGAAAGAAGGACTAAAGGGTTTTTGGTACTAAAATTAGTGGTGGTGATGGTAATGGAACTAAGTGTGGAACCTGTACATATCTGCTAAAGTCAATATTTAGAATTCTGATCTATTTTTAATTTCTTAAAGATCAATGTACTTTTTTATAAACCTGACCTTATTGATCCTTAAAATCCCTAGCTTATTAAGCCATAATAATTTTTGTTTATTGTCCCTTAAAATATGTTTCACTTTTATTGAATCCTGAAAAGAGATCCATGATTATTGCTTTAAGAATTCCAAACATTAAAACAACCAGTTTTCTTAATGTTATTGTAACATGTTTACTTTCTCTCTTTATATTTTATTTTTTAATAGCAGTTCCTTGAGTACTAAATTGTTTTATATAATTGTTTTGTGTGTTATGTCAGCCCCAGCATCGGATAATGTCAATAATTTAACTTTTTCTATAGTTTTGCATTTATTTTTTCATGATATATAAAAATGATTTTTTTCGGATTCAAAAGGATAACGACATTATGGAGAACCTGTGACATTTAAACAAAAATGTGGCCCGCCGGTTATATCGGCCATAAACCAATTCATAAAAACAATAATTAAATGTATAAAAAAAATCAATGACCCAGTTTCAATTTGTGTTTTGTTTGAAGAAAGAAGCGCCAAAATATTTGCATAAATAGACGTAAAACGTATTTATCATTTTTTAACAATTTGTATAACATCCTCATCGGCCATTATGTGGCTAATGCCAACACGTTGTGGTGAATACTTTGTGGAAGTACCCCAGACTAAGGCATATTTGAATTGGGCAGCCAAGGTGCGATGAATGGCATGGCAGACATATTCGACACTGACGCCCTGCAAGAGAAGAACATCGAGAATTAATTAATATGTATTTGGTATTAGAGAACACTACTAACCTTTCTCAAAATCAAACCATCATCAAAATCTGGTGGTGCACCCGGTTTCTTTGTATAGACACGAATCAGTTGCAAGGCATCCCACAATGCCTCCAGCAGATAATCCAGATTTAATTTCATATTACAACTAACCACAATGGAATGGGGTTGACGTGCCAAACGATCCACTTCCTCAATAGAAATTTGATCAATTTTATTATAGACATATAGGCATGGTAGATAGACACGATTCGCCGTAACAACATCAATAAATTCATCTGTGGTACAATCTTCACGAAACAGTACTTCGGCGTTGAAAATTTTAAATGAGTGCAGAATCATTTGAACCATTTTCTCACTACATTTGGTAAGGGTACAGGTGGAATTGAAACTCAGGCCACCACCTTTCTTGATTTTGAAATAAATATTCGGTTTTCGTTTATTCAAACGTATACCGACAGATTCCAATTCTCGTTCCAGCAATTCACGATGTACATTCGGTTTGGTGGCATCCAACATCATAACAACCAAATCGGCTGTGCGGGCCACAGCAATAACTTGACGACCTCTACCTTTACCCTGTAGAAAAGGGATAGTAAAGAAAGTGAAATTAGTTCGAAATTATGATTAAGCGGGAAGTAATTTAAAAATTTTGACCCTGTCTTGGTAGATCCTCTGAAGGCAAAACAATCAAATGATAGGTTAAGGGTTTTAAATACGAAATGCTTGGCGTTTTGGGGTTTTTTGGAAGTAATTTAAAAATTTTGAACCTGTCTTGGTAGATCCTCTGAAGGCAAACAATCAAATGATAGGTTAAGGCTTTTAAATACGAAATGCTTGGAGTTTTTTAGACGGTTTTATGGTATGTATGGGCTTGTCTCCATATGAGGGTCCCATGAGTAATACGAAAATCAGTTAGTTTGAATTAAATTCTATAATAACCTCACATCTGGAGGCGATATCAATCTGAGTCATACAAATACAAATTATAGCAGATTTAGATGTGGCTGTTAAGGGAGATTATCTGCCCACTAAGGAGGTCAAAACGTCAACTAACAGCTAGGAAGAGAAAATATGTGATTTATTCTGTTTAATGTTGGACTTTGTGGTGAAACAACCTACATAGATCCTCTAAAGGAAGAACCTCCAAATTCGATATAATGCAAGATTTTCAGAGCGGGTCAGTCTCTAATTTAGGGTGTAGGGGCTTTGTCTAACATATGCGGAACCGATTTGTCAGGCTATAAACAATTCGTTTGGGCAAAAACTTGTGATAACATCAAAACTGGCGGATGCCATGACGCGACACGATTTGGTATTCTTTTAAAGTTGTCACTTGGAGATGGGACTAGTCCATATTACGGTTTGTATGAACTTTGTCTACCTTAGAAGGATCCGATATGCCAGACAATAAGTAAATTCGTACGGAATAGAACCTGCAATGACCTAAAATCTGGCGGCGATATTAGTCTGGACCATGATTCAACTAGAACCGGAATTGGAAATTGATTGTATGGAGATAAACAATTCCCTATTATACAAACTGGGATCCATAATTACTAAATTAATTTAGTAGGATCAGTCAGATATTAGTCTGGACCATGATCCAACTTGAACCGGAATTTGAAATTGTTTGTATGGGGGTTAACAATTCCGTATCTATTGTACAAACTGGGATCCATAATTACTAAATTAATTTAGTAGGAGAAGTCAGCAAAGGTCAGCAAAATACTTCAGACCGGTTAGTTAATTTATTAGGAGGCATTATGCAGGCTCTCAAGGATACAATTTGTAAAGACCGCATATTTTTATTACAGATTCCTCAGCAAAATCCTTAAAATATTTCAAATCATACACAACGGAATCCGAAACGGTAATCTAAAGCTATAATCCAAGGGTTTCTCACTCAAAATCTTTTTAAAAAAATAAAATCAAAAAAATATTTGTTCTCCATACCTGAGCAGCACCTTCAATAATACCCGGCAAATCCAACAGCTGGATATTGGCACCCTTATATTCAATAACACCGGGGATACATGTTAACGTTGTGAACTCATAATTGGCAGCTTCAGATTCCGTTTTGGTCAATGTCGACAACAAAGTGGATTTACCCACCGAAGGGAAACCAATAAGAGCAACTCTGGCATCGCCACTCTTTAACACATCAAAACCTTCACCTTTTTCACCCTTCTTTGCGGGTTCCAACAATTGCGAACGATATTTGGCTAATTTGGCCTTTAACAAACCCAAATGGTATTCGGTAGCTATAGAACAGGCACAATAAAAATTAATTATTAAATATTTTTCAAAACTATATAACCTTGTTTTTACAAATTTGTCTTCTTCTTCGGCCAGCCAGCCACCTCATTGGGACTGCTGTCGTCGTCGTCCATCCATCATATCATACCTTTGTTCTTTTGGGTACGGGCGATTTCTCGCTCGATTTCGGCAATTTTATCCAAAATACCCATTGTGTTTGTTTTGCTTTACTTGTTCGGCTTCGTTTGCAGAGAAAATTTACAAAATATTCATAATAAATTGTTGGTGAAATGTCGCAAAAAAAAAGTTTGCCCAGATTTTGTCGACTTTTTTGCAAATAAATCGAAATCCGGCAGACAGAACACAAAAACGCTGTTTTGACACGTCAATGCTTCTTCTAGTTCAGGGGAGGCATTCAGTGTTGTTTGATAGCACAAAGAATGTGTGTGTTGGGAAATTACACTTGATGAAAAATGTTTTTGGCAGAGAATTGGAAAATTAGGGATTAAAACGGATACAAGGAGAAGGAAATAAAAAGGATTTGTGACATTTTATAAATCACGTTTATATATACATGATTTATTTAATTGTTTATGGTGACAAATAAAAAAATAACATTTTAATTATACAGTAACAGTTATCAAATATCGGTTATGAACTCTGTTCAATGAAAGAAATTCAGAAAATTCACTCGATTTAAAATGTAAAAAATCCACGGTCTTTATAAATAGGATTCGTTTGACCTATGTGCTTTTATGTACAATTATATTTTTGATTAGGTTATAGCATGGCACATTATACAGACGAGTACGCTTATAACGAAAACCGGCTATAACGAACTTTGTTTATAGCGAACACATTTCCGGTTTCCGAAGTTTTAAGACATATTTTTTATACAAATTTGTACTCTTATGGTGAACTTTTTTTATAACGAACTATTAGGTCCCAAGTTGAAGTTTTCTTTTATTTTAATTCGGTTATAACGAACATGCTTAATTCTTATTGATGACAATCTTCATAAAAGTAAGTTTTACGTCAACGCTGGCTAACTTACTTAGCTGGCTAATGACAGAATAGTTGTTCCATAAGTCAAGCTTTAAAAGAATTTCCAGGCGCGTCGGTCTTGTGCGCATCTCATCCAAATTGAAAGACCATTTTCCGAGATGTTGTTGGTCTTCCCCTTCTACGTGAACCATCACTTGGCTCGCTTCTATATGCCTTTTGAACTGGGGCATCTACATCCATTCTCCCAAGATGGCCTAGCCAACATAGTCGCTGCAGCTCGATCCGTCTGACTATGTCGATGTCCGAGAATAGATGGCATAACTCATGATTCATTCGACGACGATATTCATCATCGACGCAGATCGGCCCATAGCTCTACCGGAGAATTTTTCACTCAAACACTCCAAGAGCTGAATCATCTGCTTGTGCAAGTACCCATGCTTCAGATCCATACAGAAGCTCGGGTAATTTCAGCGTCTTATAGAGTGTGAGTTTGGTCTGGCGAGAGGTAGCCCTGCTTTTGAGTAACATACTCAGACCATAGTAACATCTGTTGGCCAATAATATTCTCCTCCGGATTTCAAAGCTAATGTTATTAGTTTTGTTTATGGCGGTACCGAGGTATATAAAATCGTTCACTATTGGTGGTGGCTCTTTTTTACTCGTTTTCCGGGAGGCGGGCCAAATACTTAAAGAGAAAAAAATCGTTTACTATCTCGAAGCAGTAGTTTTCAAGATCCACAGTTGGTCCGAGTCTACTAGACGTCTTGCGCGTTGATACCATCAGCTTGATTTTTTCGCCATTTGCTGCCAGTCCCACTTTGGCAGACTCCTTCTCAATTCGTTCAAAGGTGGGTGTTACCGCACGCAATGTTCGACCCATTATGTCGATATTATCGGCGTAGGCGTGTACCATATGCTATTTGTTGTACAGAGTGTCATTTCTGTTCACATTTGCATCTCGTATGACCTTTTTCAACAGGTCACCTTGCCTGAATCCTCGTTCGGTATTGAAGGACTCCGAGAGGCCCTTTCCAACTTTAACTGCTGACATTGTACCAGTTAAAGTTATACGGCATAGCCGTATTAGTTTTGTAGAAATGACATCGATTTGGAAACCTCGGAACGGATAGGGCTGTCGAACGCGGCTTTATAGTCGACGAATAGGGGGAATGTGTCGATGTGTTTTTCCTTGGTTTTTCCAGAGTGAGAATCAGGTCATTGGCGGATTTACCCGGCCTGAAGCCGCATTGGTAAGGTCCAATAATGTCATTGACCATTGGCTTCTGTCGTTCGCACAGCACTGTCGAACGCGGCTTTATAGTCGACGAATAGGGGGAAAGTGTCGATGTGTTTTTCGTTGGTTTTTCCAGAGTGAAAATCTGGTCATTGGTGGATTTACCAGGCCTGAAGCCGCATTGGTATGGTCCAATAATGTCATTGACCATTGGCTTCTGTCGTTCACACAGCACGCTGGATAGCACTTTACATGCGATGGGAAGGAGACTTATTCCTCTATAGTTGGCACATGCCTTGTGTCTCCTGTTTTGTGAACGGGACTCAGGATGCTGAGATTCCAATCATTGGGCATGCATTCCTCTAGCCAAATTGTACTAATCATGCTCCTGACCAGCATCTGACCACCGGTCTTGAATAATTCGGCTGGTAATTCATCGGCACCTGCTGATTTATTGTTCTTAAGCCGATTAATTGTTTTTATGACCTCATCTTGGCTAGGTATCTTCTTCACCACCACTATTTGATACCAGAAGCTTTTCAAAATGCTCCTTCCAGATCCTCAACACGCTTTCTGTATCTTTCACCAGGTTTCCATCTTCATACCTACAGGAGGTTGTGCCTGCCCAAAGCCTTCGGTTTGGTGTTTTAAAGGTCGTTTACATTGAACCGGATTTGGTTAACCGAGTGGGTTTAAATTTTCAATTCCTTTGAATATATGTCAAATAAATCCTCCGCTTTTATCCTATAATCCGCTTTTATGGTTGGCAACTCTGAACTTCGTATTCAAACAGAAATTATGCATTACTATCAAAATCAGCTGCGCTAAATGGACTAGATATTTATTGTGCCATGCACATTCTCCTAAAGTTTCCCATTTTTCCTCCCTATTACCTCTACCAGAGTTGATTTTGTATTTTCGTTAAATATAAAATAAGAAACAAACAAAAAAACAGCTGACTGTCAACTTTTAAGACTAGCTTGGATTGTGTACCTCAATTTAGATAATAGTCTATACACGCCTTAAGTAAATATTGCATTATACCACACAGAGTTGCATTTTGTATTGTCGCTAAATTAATTCTAGCTTTTTTATTGGGACGTGGTGTAACTTGAATGTTTTGGAATCGACTTATCCTTATATTTCTGTCAAATTTGCAACAAAAACTCCATCTTAACTAGTTTTAATAAAATGTTTGAATTTATATATTTATTTATGTATTAGGTTATGATCTAAATAAATTCTTTTGCTTTTAAATTTTACAGTGTTTACACAGGTTTGAATGGATAAAACTATATATATTTCACAAAAAGTATGAATATACCTTACATAAATACGTATTTCTATATATTGTTTTCAAAAAAAATCAGATGTAAAAATACTTATAAATAGTAAACAAAAAACATAGTTGTTAAAAAAAGTAGTATCTCAAAAAAATTGTTGTGTGCATTCTTTTATGTTTGAAAAGTTTGTAAACAAAAAAATAATAATACAACTTTTTTGTGCACATTTATTTATATATGAAGGACCTCGTTTTGTTTTCTATTTCAAAAAAACAACATTTCGAGGTCTATTTAGATGTACAGACATTCAAATGTGAGCTTTGTGTTACAAAGCTTTGCCACTGTTTTTCCTTTCAATACTGTAGCAAATAATTAACATTTTGCAACCTTTCGTTCTTTTTTTTTCATTTTTGGGTGAATAAAAAGCTAACCAACCATCTTGATGAATTTCTCTTCCCTTCGTTTTCTGGTGTTTGTGTTTAATTTCTGTAAAATCCATTGCCATCATTACCCATAAATTCAGTCCATCGCTGTGTATCGATATCATCCAATTCGGAACACACTTCACCCGGTTGCAATGAACGACAGGTGCAGGTAATGCTTAGCCGCGTAATTACCAATTGCGATTCGTATTTGGGCATTTCGGGATTAATATTGACCATTCGCTCGTTGAGGCATTGCTTGAGAAATTGCCGACGCAAAGCACGTTGATTGTCCATGGTGTAACCTGTAAACCAGAAGAGTTTTATTATTAATAAATTTAGATGATAATCCTGACACAATTTTATAGGATAGGCAGAGAAAGTAAGTTTTGGAATGTCGGAAAAGCGAGAAAGCAGACAAGACAGTTAAAAAAGAGCAGCCACATTACAAAGCTGATAAATGGCGCCCAAATGGGACAACTGTTCTGAATGACCCGAATAGGAAGAATCTTCACCTCCTCACAAGATAAAATAACTTAGATAATAGTTTGTCTTAATAATATAACCTGGCCCAATCTGTCGGATGAGCAATGTTGCAGATGAGATGGTAGAAGAAGTGAGCAGGGACATTACCAAGCTGGTGGCAAAGACGAAGCTGATATATGGCGCCCAGAGGCGACAACTGGTCAACATGAACTGGATGAGCAGAACCTTCACTCCCTGACAAGTGACGAAGGTGATTAAGTTCCTGGACCAAAAGAATACCGCTAAACCGGCGAAGAGGAAAAACAGCTTGAGCTACTACGAGCAAGTCACGAAAGTACCAAGTCAAAGCAGACTTTTCCGAAAATCAATTCACAGAGGGCAACAAAGTTGGCTCAAGTACCAAAAAGAGGGATTTTTATTATAAATAAAAAACTTAGATAACTGTTAGTCCTGATTCAAAAATAATACAACCTGACCCAATCTTCTAGGATAGACAGAGAAAGTAAGACATGGCCGGCTTTGAATGTCGGATGGGCAAATAGGCAGACAATATTGTAGAATAAGTGAGCAGGACATTACCAAGCTGGTGAAAAACACGAAACTGCTAACTGGCGCCCAAAGGTGCCGACTAATCAAATTTAACGGGATGAGCATAACCTTCATCTTCTCAGAAGCGACCAAGATGATCATATTTCCGGACCAGCAGAATACCTCTAACCCTGTGAGGAGAAAAAGGAGGCAGACAGATCCGAGAATCCACCGAAAGAGAGAGACAAAGCTGGCCCAAGTACCAAAAAGACGAAACAAAAGCCTGATAATTCTATTAGGATCCGGACAAGACAAAGAAAACAACCAAAAGTACCTAGGAAACAATACTGGGAAGAGTTCTGCTATACCGAAACTGGCGCCCAAACGTACCGTCTAATCAAAATTAACCGAATGGACAGAACCTTCATCTTTTCAGAAGCGACCAAGAGGATTATATTTCCAGAATAAACCAGCGAGGAGAAAAAGGAGAGTTCCGTCATCTAGTACTATGAACAAGATGCCCAGGTCAACGGAGACTGGTCCGAGAATTCATCTAAAGAAGGAGACAAAGGTAATTCTATTAGGACCCCGGACAACACAAAGAAAGCCCCAAAAAGTACCCAGGAAACAATACAAGGAAGAGATCTGCTTTAGCGAAACTGGCGCCCAAAGGCGCTGACATATCAGTGCCGGATGAGAAGAACCATCACCTTCTCAGAAGCGGCCAAGGGGATTATATTTCTGTGAGGAGAAAGATGAGGGAGACTGGTCCGAGTATCCATCGAAAGAGTGAGACAAAGCTGGCCCAAGTACCAAAAAGACGAAGCAAAAGCCTGGTAATTCTACTAGGGTCCGGACAAGACAAAGAAAGCAGCCAAAAGTACCCTGGAAACAATACAGGGGGAGTTCTGTGAGGAAGAAAAGGAGGGAGACTAATCCGAGAATCCATCGACAGAGGGAGACAAAGCTGGCTCAAGTACCAAAAAGACGAAGCAAAAGCCTGGTAATTCTACTAGGGTCCGGACAAGACAAAGAAAGCACCCAAAAGTACCCAGGAAACAATACAGGTAAGAGTTCTGCTATACCGAAAATGGTACCCAAAGGCGCTGACATATCAAAATTAAACGGATGAGCAGAACCTTCTCCTTCTTAAAAGCGACCAAGAGGATTATATTTCCGGACCGGCAGAATATTGCTAAACCAGCGAGGAAAAGAAAGGAGGATACCGTCATCTAGTACTATGAACAAAATGCGTCAATCCCAGGTCAACGGAGACTGATCCGAGAACTCATCCAAAGAAGGAGACAAAGGTAATTCTATTATGGCCGTCTAAAAAAATTAATCTAATGACCAGAACCCTCACCTTCTCAGAAGCGGCGAAGAGGATTATATTTCTGGACCGGCAAAATATTGCTAAACCAGCGAGGAGAAAAGATGCGTCAATCACAGGTCAACGAAGACTGAGAATTCATCCGAAGAAGAAGACACAGGTAATTCTATTAGGACTCAGAAAAGACAAAGAAACCACCCAAAAGTACCCAGGAAGCAATTCAGAGAAGAGTTCTGCTATACCGTAATTGATGGAAACAGTGCATCCGCCAAGTTGAAGAAAGAGATCAAAGACACAGTGAATACTTAAAGTGTGGTTCACCTATTGCAGGCTGGGGTCATACAGATCTTATAAGGGAAAGCTGGTAATAAAAATTATTACTCCATAGAGACATTGCAGAACAACAAAACTCCAGGATCTTCGGTAGAGAATAGAACAGTGAGTTCATGACAGAGCATCGCTCGAAGTTTTTTGTCTCCAAAACCCAACGCAAATTGCATGAAAGAGATCCACAAATAGGTTAGGAAGGGATATATTACTAAACTACAACTAACAAGGATATTCAGTAGATAGGATAACTCGCGGTACAACGCATGTTCGAGGTCTTTGGTTTCCACGAGGGACAAATCTTCAAAAACAATGAGATATTCAAGGTTTAATATCCGAACATCATCTGAGCTCAAAAGCCAACAAGTTGATAAGTCCAAAATGTGCTTATGCTTCTGCAGAACAGCTGTAGTTTTACTTACTTTTATAGGCGCTTATTTTCTCCTCAATACAATTCAAATCCTGTGGCAGGAACAACGGTGGAAATGCTTCTGATTCTCGAATATTGAGGACAAATGCAAAATCGATTGATGATCTTGTATTATTCAACGATTTCATAAGGACTCCCGTCGATGATATCGATGCCAAAAACCATTCATCATTTTCCATGCGATCACCACCATTTCCAGATTCTGTACTCGATTCATCTCCGCTTTGCCTTCTATGAAGATGACGAAGGCGGCGACGTCTACGCTTCTTTTCAATATTTAAGCCATCAAATTGTCCTTGCTGTTCCCCATCCTGTTGCTCATCAATTTGATTTGTTCCGATATCGTAGTTTTGTTGTTTCTTCATTGCATCTCGTTCTTCTTTTTCACGCTCTAAATCCCAAAGACTCAGTGGTTCGTCACGGTCCAGTTTGTTGGAGGGTACACCACCCGCCGGAAGACTTGATGTCGCATTGGCATCTGCATCATCGAATGTGGGAACATCGCTGCGTATATCACGATTTCCGGGATATTTTGTACGTAAACGTATCGGATGATCATTCGGTGGTACAAGTTCGGGTATTTCTGGATCAGGATAGGCGTTTTCATAGTCAGCAGGTGCTCTTTGGGGTTGTTCGAGTTCGTAGTCTTTTTGCTGCAAAGAGAGAAATGGTTTCAGGAATTTATAAAGTTTTCGTATTTAATGATTTATTTTACATAATTAGGAGGTTAACTTACAAATTCCCTTATCGGTTCCCGATTACCGCCAAAAGCTCCACCACCAACACCATAATATGGCACATTCAATTGCTGCTTCAGTGCATCATAGGCATCTACCGCGGGCATTTCATTTTTCTCTAAAGCTTCTTGTATTAATTCGGGGGTTACCAAGCGTTCTCGCGCGGTTTCTTGGCGGAATTGACTTTTCGATTTTTCCAAATGTTCGAGATTTTCAGCAGCCACTACACGTTCCAATAGTTCCTTATTGGCCAACAATTTTTTCAATAGTTTTGGATGTTTTAGTGGAGATTTGGCGGTCTTTTGTGGAGGATTTGACAGGGTGCTGGGCTGTGTACGATTCAAGTGGACTTCAAGGTCATCTAAAGAAGAAAATTTGTTATTAATTTATAAATTGTATTATAAATCCATATTCTGTGTAAATACGCCCTTTGTTCGACATATTCTATCAGCTTGGTGGGAAATCCAAAAAAAAGAAATAAATAATGCTGAGTCAGAAGGTGACTGCGCCAAGGAAGAAGGCGGTTACGGCGAAACATTTTGTCGGGGATGTTTCGATTCTGAGCATAGCGGCTACATATAGAAGGTGGGAGTTTATGGAGTCCCTTACCCATAGCAGACAGAGACTCGGCACCGATCGAACTTCATTTGGAGGTGAAGGCTATTTTAAACATTGTGTGGCTTAAGATCCAGAAATTTAAAAGAAATCTCAATGAATTGAGTTTCGAAACTAATGTGGATTTGTTGTTTTTATACAATGGGCTGAGGAAACAGACGTTGGCCGAGTAAAACTCGGGTCGCTTCGGATCGTAGACTTCTCTGTCATAGAAAAGAAGTTTTAATCTAGATTTGTTGGAGTGTTTGGTGGACGACTGGAAGAGACACAATTCAATTTTAATAGGCGCATGGCTTCATATTTTGATATACTATCCGGAGAATGGAGATATTGTGGAAAAAATAAGAAAGTAAATGATCAATATGAAATAGCAAAGTGGCCAAGTACTTCAAAAGATACGGACGATATTGCAAGAACAAATCAATAAGGAAATAATGTCTGATAAATGTGAGCCACCAGTGGATAACTGTGTTGCCGATTTGAAAAAGAAGCCGGCAGACAATGGCGATGAACCGATAACACAAGATGATTTGGTCTGTAAGCAAAGGACGTTAGTTACGTATGTTTCTGCCAGGAAGATTGCGGCAATAAATCCTGATAAATCATCGTAAGATGGAAATTGTGGTTATAACGAAGCTTGTCGATGATCCAGACTTAAAGAGGAAGACAGCAGTCAAAGATGATAAATCGCAAAGAAAGAGCGACTATTTTGCCGCAATGAAGAGGTTTGTGGAAGATCACGGTCTAACGCACCGAGCTGCTAATGGAAGATGTGGCCGGTGAGAAGTGGATTTGGATTTGTGGATTTGTTGTAGTGATTCGAGGACAACTAGAAGAGTCACAATTCAATTTTAATAGGCGCGTGGCTTCATATTTTGATATACTACCCGGATAATAGAGATATCGTGGAAAAAAAATAAGAAAGTAAATGATCAATATGAAATAGCAAAGTGGGAAGTACTTCAAAAGATACGGACGATATTGCAAGAACAAATCAATAAGGAAATAATGTCTGATAAATGTGAGCCACCAGTGGATAACTGTGTTGCCGATATGAAAAAGAAGCCGACAGACATTGGCGATGAACCGATAACACAAGATGATTGGGCCTGCAAACAAAGGCCATTAGTTACGGATGTTCCTGCCAGGAAGATTGCGGCTATAAATAATGAAACTGCGGCCGGGAAAAATGAAGCCCGGACAAAGGCGGCGTTCGTCGTAAGAACGAAGTGGCGGTTATAACGAAGCCTTAAAGAGAAAGACAGCGGTCGAAGATGTAGAGTAGCCAAGAAAGATCCACTATTTTGCCACAATGAAAAGGTTTGTGGAAGATCACGGTCTAACGTACCGAGCTGCTAATGGAAAATGTGACCGGTGATAAGCTGAAGAAGATAATTGCCGATGGTCCAGCCTTAATGATGGAGCGAGAGGGCAAAAATGCAGAGAAGCTGATGAAGACTATTGTCAATGGTTCACGCTGGAAGAAGAAGCCGGCAGACAAAGGTAGAGATGCCATCATGGGAAGCTGATGAAGGCAATGGTTCAGACTGGAAGAATATGATGGAGCGAGATTGCAAAAATGCAGAGAAGCTGACGAAGACTATTGTCAATGGTTCAGACTGGAAGAAGAAGAAGTCGGCGGACAAAGTTGGGGTTGCCATCATGAGAAGCTGGTTGGAAAGATGGCGGGTGTACCCAGATGCGATCACCTAGCTGTTTTATGATTGCCTAATGATTAAGTGTCTGACCCATAGAAAGGCAGGAGTTTTAGATGGTCCTCCTCACCCAACGAGGTGATCGCGTCCAAGTACATGTGATCGATTGGTACCTACATTTCGGTATGGGGCGTTGGTTGACGCTTTGTATTAACTGGTGTTTACAGCACCGTGGGGTAAGACCGCAAGGTAGGTACCCACGTACTCTAAGCATATCTGTTTAACGATTAAATTACTTATATTTTATATTATTGGAATAGTTAAAATTTTTAAATACATTTTCTGGCCCGCAAGATATTCACGTATCAAACAGGGATTTTCGTATAATAAAGATAGTGAATGTCTTGATGTGGGTCTCGTGTGTAAATACACAAAGACTGAATTAGACCTGCTATCACTCCGCGGATAATATCCGCGTCAACCATAAAGACCTCTCGATTATCAGGATGATACAAAGAAAATGACACTTCAAATGTCAAACAAAATATTAAAATGACAAACAAATGGTGTTCAAACATAAAATATGTTTAAATATCAAATCGAAAACATATGGTTTTTATTCGAGCATCTGTTAATTTTTTGTAGTAGAATTTCTAATTGTTGGCAACTTTGCACATCGAATTCAAGCAGAAACTATGCACTTTGACAGTTAATCGAATAGTCAGCTGCGCTAAATGGTGTATATGTGTCATGTGTGGTATAGATGACAGTCAACCAGCTGATGTCAGTCATAATCGATTTACATAACAAAATTATGTAAATATTGATTGAAAAATTGCCGTAATAATACGTTTACATTGCACCGGATGTCGTTAACCCAGTGGATTTTAAATGTCAATTCCATTGTATATATGTCAAATAAATCCTCATGAAGTATGTTAACCCGTTAAAAAGTTGAGTCCATTTATAACACAAACCCCCACATACCTGTACTAAATAGTACCGCTCCTGGTGGCTTCAAATGACGGGCAATGGCATATAATTTCACCACACTTGAGGTGTTGTATCTCAAGCGGCATGTATCAGCTCTGGCCTGGAGAATTATATCGCTATCTGCAATAACAAAGAAAAAATCAATAAAATTTCAAAATTATACTCCCCTCTCCTTCTCCCCTCACCTGGTACAAATTCATATGCATCCTTGGCATCCATTTTATCGCGACACTGCATTTGCCAATGTAAAAAGAAGTCACCGCCAAATGTTTGTGATATCGAAACACCACCCAATAGACTATTCGAACCACCTGAATCTGTCATCATAGCATCCAGTAGCGGTTTACCTGTTCTACCATCCAATATTGTTGTCTGAGAATAATAATACACTGGAAATCCTGGTCCAGTATTATATTTTACCATAAAGTCGGGTACGTCATCATGATTAAAATGACCCGGTACTATGGTACTAACACTTTCACTTGAATGGAATGTGAAATTCCACAACATCGAGAAATTGCGACCATCAAATGCCATTACTGTGGAATTAAAAGATGACACAACAATATCGGCAATTTTGTCACCTGTGATGTCCGTCAGTACCGACGGAACCATTAAACCGGAATGTTTATGACGATAGATGGCCGTGAAATCTTTTTCACTTGTAAATTTCATCAAAGACATCATTCGAATGGTATAAACCCCTCCAGGTGTTGATTGTCCACCGGTAATGATGAGTAATAATTCGGTACCATCTTCTTGGGTAATAACTTGTATCGGTACGAAAACTTCTTCTTTGTAGGGTGTCGGTATGGTGCGTATAACTTTTCCTGTTTTACCCGAAATTACCTTAATGTGTCCCGCTTTCGATTCTTCTCGTTCTTCCAAATGTACAGCTATTATTTCTTGAACTTCATCCCCATCGAGATCGCGTACAATATTTATGGTATAGAGATCCATCACGATGGGGGAATTTGTCTCCACTTCTATTTCTCGAAATTCCCAAATATTGTTGCCATTGCGTCCGTTTATGGCGAATATCATCTGGAAGATAAGGAGACATAAAAAATTTGTATTTTATGTATCTACATTATCTAAAAGATGTGGATAATGTATCTACATTATCTAAAAGATGTGGATAATGTATCTACATTATCTAAAATATGTGGATAATGTATCTACATTATACAGAAGATGTGGATAATGTATCTACATTACCCAGAGGGCGTGGATAATGTATCTACATTATGCAGAAGATGTGAATAAAGTATCTACGTTATCTAGAAGGCGCTGATAGTATATCTACATTATCCAGAAGGTGTGGATAATGTATCTACATTACCCAGAGGTAGTGGATAAGGTATCTACATTATCCAGAAGACGTGAATAATGCGTCTACGTTATACAGAAGGCGAGGTCAATTTATCTACGTTATCCAGAAAGCGTTAATAATGTATCTACATCATCTAGAAGAGGGTAATGTATCTACATCATCTATAAGGCGTGGATAATGTATCTACATCATCTACAAGGCGTGGATAATGTATCTACATCATCTACATGTCGTGGGTAATTTATCTACATCATCTACAAGGCGTGGAAAATGTATCTACAACACCTAGAAAGCGTGGAAAATGTATCTACAACACCTAGAAAGCGTGGATAATGTATCTACATCATCTAGAAGGCTTGGATAATGTATCTACATCATCTAGAAGGCTTGGATAATGTATCTACATCATCTACAAGGCGTGGATAATGTATTTACATTATCCAGAAGGCGTGTATAATTTATCTACGTCATCTAGAAGGCATGGATAATTTATCTACATCTTCTGGAAGGCGTGGATAATGTATTTATATTATCTAGAAGCGTGGGTAATTTATCTACGTCATCTAGAAGGCATGGATAATTTATCTACATCTTCTGGAAGGCGTGGATAATGTATTTATATTATCTAGAAGCGTGGGTTATTGATCTACATCATCTAGAAGGCGTGGATAACATATATACATCACCTAGAAGGCGTGGATAAATTATCTATGATATCCAAAAGAATTGTATAAATTATCTAAGTTATCCAAAAGATTTAGATATATTGTCTACGTTATCCAAATCACTTAGATATGTTATCTACCTTATCCTAAAGTATAGATTATCAGGATGGTGTAGATAATGTATCTGTATTATCCAGAAGGTGGAAACTATCTATCCATATTATTTAAAAGTCGTGGATAAGTTATCTACATCAACCAGAAGGTGTGGATAAGTTATCTACATCAATCAGAAGGCCTGGATAAATTTTCTATAAAGCGTGAATAAGTTATCTACAAATCGTGGATAAATTATCTACAAAGCGTGGATAACATATCTACATTATTTTAAAGAAGTAGATATATTATCTCCATCACTCAGATTGAAAGGATTGGATAATCTATATACCTTTGATCCGAAAATCTTAAAAACTTATTGACATACCCATTTCCGCCTTCAATTCCCAAAACTTTCCACTTACCCCCAATCGTCCGGCCGCCACACAATCTATATAACCATCCCGATTTATATCCGATGTACACAACAGCGAGAAAACATTCGCCACACTCCATGTTTGCCACAGCAGATCACCATTCACCCCACTCACAGCTATAACACCACCCTCACAAGGCACTTCATCTCCCTGTATGGGACTTTTACATTTCGGCAGCGGATATCCTTCATATTGGATATTATCATCGACACCAAATCCAAAAACTATATCCATAACACCGTCACCATTTAGATCTGCCTTACGTACCGGACTTTCACTGTTCATGCGCGGAAATGTACGTGACCATAATTTCTGGACACTTATCTGGGTACAAGGAACAAATTCACTGCCCATACTGTCACCGTATGAACGTTGACCGTCATCGTGTAGGCCCATCGGTAAGGCGGGCACCCGTTGATGATGAAGCCAACCTTTGAGTTTTTGCATTGAGACTGGAACCATGGTTAGGATGAGGGCAATCAGGCTGATTAAGGCTATGACAATGGTTAAGGCAGCTAGACCATAACAAAAGGGTTCACAACAACGCCAACAACAGCGTCGATGTTTTTTCATGATGGGCGAGGATGAGTGTGTTTTGCCGTTTTTGCGGCGCGGTGCCATCAGAGGGCGTTTCAAACCCTTTTCTTCGCTCATCTGCAAAATGGGGGCAGAGGAGTCATTTTATTTTTCCTGTAAAGATTTTTTTAAAGCGGAACATACCTTAGATGTTTTGGAATCTTTGATGAATACCTCATCGTCCACATCATCGCTAATGTCTTCATCAATGGAATCGCGTATGGCGATACGATTTGAGGGCACATATGGTCGCATATTTATCATTGCCGGAAAAAAGCGAAGGCTTGCAGTCAAAATAACAAATATGGTATTTTTATCTACGCACTTTGGCACTTGCTGTGGCGAAAAATGGCAATGAAAACACCCAAAAGTTTGCTACATTTATATTCTTTTGTGTTTCTTTAAGCCTTTTGCTTATGCTTTAAATGTTTAATACAATTTTAATTTTTCTTTCCGTTTGTTCTGTAATATTCACAATATTTTCCCGATTTTCCCCGTAAGCAACAAGAATTTCAACTGTCTGTTATCACCAAAAAAGAAAATCGATACTCTTTTTTGCAGTTTTATCTAAACTGTCATTTTGACAAATGGTGGTTGCTTCTTGACTCTTTGTTTTTTTTCTTTTCATTTAATTTAACGCATGCGCCTAACTGTAGGCAATTTTGTTTATCTTATTGGCAGAGCATAGCCCCCTTTGCATTCTAAACACGTGTTGCATGCTTATCCGGTTTTGTTTACCAACAAACACTCCACAGCCGTTACAGAAGACAGCTGTTTTGGGCTGGTTGAGAGGGTGAAAGAGAGAGAGAGAGAGGAGGGTATTTTTTTGTCAATGGGGAACGGGATAACTCCAGTGGTTATCTGTTGCTATTTATTTACATCAATTAAGGGAAGTTTTGTGTATGTGTACTAATTTTTGTATTGTTTGTATTGCATCTTCTTCTTCTTCGTGTTCTTTTTTTGGAAGAATTCCTGTAAAGTCCATTTAGTAGTTTTTATGAATGAATAAAATATGTGACGTAGGGATGAAAGGAAAGTAAACAAACAGGAATCTTTTTTTCAACTTCATTCATAATTCAATTATATTAAGATGTATGTATATAGGGGTGCATTTTTTAGAGTGATAGGATATTTAGCAAGATATTTTAAACAGGAAATGTATAAGAAATGTATTTATTATCATTTGGCGGACTAATTGTAGGTTTACATTGTATTAGATTACTACTCCAAATGCTGCTGTATAGTTTTATATAGTACTAAAAAAACCACAAAAACCAAAACCACAACCGGGCTGGTATCCCAAAACAAAAATATACAGCAGCAAAAACCGCAAGCGGCAAGGAAAAACCTTGACCCATGCAGTGGCGACGTCGAACAAATACACACAACACAATTTAACATAATGTCCTCACGGACTGCACAAAGGGCCCAAAGGACCGCGGGATCGGACTCAACACAAACAATGAATGTAACTGTCCTCACGAGCAGCCTACACGACATCCACAGGAGCAGAAGTGAACCTCGCCAAGTAGAGCAGCCGGCAGCAGCAACACCAACATCAGCTCTCTGCCAACCACCACACCAACACCCAACGCCACCCGGTGCAACCGACCGAGCCCACCTGCAAGGGGGCTAAGCACGAGGACCACCTACACTAAGTGCTGTCCTTCTCCTAAACGCTTCACGTGCAAAACTACTTAAACAACTAAAGGTCCGATCGTCTTCAAGAGCCCTACTGAAATCCCACCTCGCCCCTCCATTCGATATACTCATACTTGCTAAATCTCTAATGTCATCATAGTAACAGCTTCCCGCACCCGTCTGGGACAGGCCTCTTTTATGCAGAAATGCATTGAGAGAACCATGTCCCGTCAGTAAGAAACCAGTACTTAAGCCGAAGTGAAAGTCTGGCCAGTCCACTACGAACGTTGCGTCATGAATAAATTCGTACGTCACCCTCCCTTTGTCATTGTTCGTCCACCTTTTCCTCCACCTATCAACAACACACTCCCGAAGGATAGTGCCATGGCACAATGAATAGGTAGTCCATTTAGAGCAGCTGATGTCTTGATTAACTGTCAAAGTGGTAAATTTTACTTGAATTCGATGTGCAATGCCAGATAATCGAGACCAAAACTGTTTTTGTTTTGATACATCACCTTATTATTGCATCATGGATAGTGCTGTACCGCCTACTCTCCCCATACATTTAGATGACGATTCGATTAACTGTCAATGTGCGCAGTTTCTTCTTGAATTCGATGTGCAATGTTGCCAGCCATGTGAAATATTACTAGAAAAAAAAATTAGTGATGGTCGGAACCATGGCACAATGAATAGGTAGTCCATTTAGCGTATCTGAAGTTTCGATTAACTGTAAAAATTAGCCACTTTGAAAGTTAATCGAGACATCAGCTGCGCTAAATGGACTACCTATTCATTGTGCCATGGTCGGGACAAAACCATATATTTTGATACATCACCTTATTATTGCATCATGGCACGAAGTAGTAAATGTAGTAATAACAGGGATAACTGGATCGAAATAAAAACTTCAACCAAATATTTTACAAGTTTTTGCATTGATTGGTACCATGAAATGTTTATTTCTTGCATAAAAATAATAATTACACAATAACAACTTTTTAAATTCAAATGATTTTTAATGTATTTCAATTTATTTGATATGTGTTTAATTTAATAGAACAAGCCACCTTAAGAAAAACATTGGAATCAGCTATGACCATCATGCAATAATAAGGTGATGTATCACAACAAAAACCTTTGTTTTTGTCTCGATCATCTGTTAAATTTTTCCACATAAAATTTCACATGGTTGGCAACACTGCACATCCAACTCAAGTAGAAATTACCCACTTTGACAGTTAATCAAGACATTAGCTGCGCTATATGGACTACCTATTTATTGTGCCATGGCTATGACCTACCTTCTAATAATTATACCATGGTTTAGACTATGATTCACAACAAAAACCTTTGTTTTTGTCTCGATCATCTGTCAAATTTTCCATATAATATTTCACATGGTTGGCAACACTGCACATCGAATTCAAGTAGAAATTATGCACTTTGACAATTAATCAAGTCATCAGCTGCTCTAAATGGACTACCTATTTATTGTGCCATGGTTTAGACTATAACAAATATATATTTAATAAGGTAGCCGCATCGGCCCAGCTGTTGGTGCAAATAAATGTCAAAAATGTTGTTGTAATGTTGAACCAAAAAATTAAAAAACAAAATTATAAATGAAAATCTCCGAATTTCGAAGAGCTTGTTCGGCAATACTTTTATTAACATTTTCTACAAGAATTTGTGTAAAAAAATCGTATGAATCTGTTTGTTTTGGCAAAATATTTTTGACATGTCAAAATACAACAAACGAAGTTTGTTGTAGAAATTCGCCGATGCGGCAACCTTATATATCTACCTTGGACTATACCATGCTACCGTGTGTCATTTAATGACATATTTAAACCAGACATGTTTTATTTGCAAATATGACGATTTCGGCAAAATTGTCAATTCAATTGTATATATTTCAAATAAATCCTCATATAGTAGTTTTACTCGGTAAATATTTCTAATGTAAATGCGTTCAAGCGTAATATGTATTCATACTTTTTGATTTACCATACATCATTGCGATTTATTTGAAATAATGATCGAGATATAAAATACAACACCAGTTTTATTAAAAAAATTCATCTTTCGGATGAAATTACAAAAAGTTCCAAGTATTTTTGTAATAGTACGTTTACATTTAATCGGATTTCGTTAACCCAGTGGGTTTCAATTGTCAATCCCTTTGCATAAATGTCAAATAAATCTTCATGAAGTAGGTTAACCCGGTAAAAAGTTCTAATGTATATGCCGTTTAAATTTGTTAACGAAAGTTCCGGCGTTGCGTTTTGATTTTAAATGATTGTCAACTAGTTTTTACATTTTTATTTATTTTCACCTTTTTACTAGATGTATAGTGCATTTACATACGCACTTTTTATGATGTGCATTTACGAAATCCTGAAAATAAATTAAGGTTATTGAGATCATTTCAAATCACTGTCAGCTGATATTTGTTTACATATACACACACACCATCTTTCTACTTGAATTCGATGTGCAATGTTGCCAACCATGAAAAATAATACTCGATAAATGTTGTCAGATGATCGAATAAAAAACATATGTTTTTATTTTTATATATCACCTTATTATTGCATTATGCTCTAAATTGTTTACCAAAAGAAAAAAATTGTTAACACGAATTTAAAATTTTATTTAGAAATTACGGGAAAATAGATATTCCCTTTAAATATATGTCAATCAATAGGAGACAGGCGGCAGCGATGATTGAGACTTCGCATGCTGAGTAGATAGGGTTAGCAGCGATGTTATACCCAGTGTAACCCGGGCCGGAGCCGCCTCCGGTTTAATCCAAAATGATACCCATGACATAATGACAATCATACATGTCGGTATATAGGTATTGAAAAATAAATTAAGGTTGCTGAGATCATTTCAAATCACTGTCAGCTGATATTTGTTTACATATACACACACCATGTTTCTACTTGAATTCGATGGGCAATGTTGCCAACCATGAAAAATATTACTAGATAAATGTTGGCAGGTGATCGAATAAAAAACATATGTTTTTATTTTTATATATCATCTTATTATTGCATTATGCTCTAACTTGTTGGTAATCTCCCCAAAAATTAATAAATTTCCGACAGTTAATAGCTTTTATTTGGCATTTATTATTATAATTGTTTACATTATTATTTTAATGCATATTTTTCTTCTTTTATAGATATTGACGCAGGGAATTTTGTTATTATTTACTGGTTTTTAATATATTTATTCATTGTTATACATCGACAACATATTTTAGTTTTAATCATAAAAGATTAAATAATAATTTATCATATGAATACAGGAAAAATCTCAATAAATTTGGGGGAGGAGTAATATAAAAGAAAACTTATAAAACAAATACAGTTGTATTTTATAATATAAAATTAAATATCGGTATTTAATTAACAATTTATGTGACATTTTGATTGTTGTTTTCTTTTTTTCTTTCTAAAAAAAATTAACTTTCTACTTATGTACATAAATATTAATTAAAAATTAATTCCCCAACACGCTTAGTATTGCTGATGACAATAGCAATTTGTGATAATCTGATAATTATCATCGTAATATGTCATACAATAATCTGCTTGTTTATATTATTTATATTTATTTTCTTTTAAATTTCTAAATTAATTTTAATAATTTCAAATTGCTTTTGGTAATATTTTGTTGTTGTTAACAGCCAAGAAAAATATTTTTTAATATATACAGTTTGTTTATTTTCTTTCTATTTGGTTTTTTCATCATTTTTATAACATTTGTCTAATTAAAATTTTGTTGCTTTATTCTTTTATCACTAGTGAAAATTATAGGTGATATCTTTTGTTCTGCGAATCACGAATTATTAAATCCTTATGGTGTAAACATGGTATTAGCTTTATAATTCAGAAATAAAACTAAAATCTTGTATGGAATGCAAAATTTGATTCAGATCATGATGCAATAAAGAGGCGATGTATTAAAACAAAACCATTTGTTTTTGTCTCGACCATATGTCAATTTTTTCCTTATAATATTTCACATGGTTGGCAACATTGCACATCGAATTCAAGTAGAAATTGCACACTTTGACAGTTAATCGAGTCATCAGCTGCGATAAATGGACTATCGATTTATTGTGCCATGGAAAACAGGTGTTATTTCTCAAGTTAAATGTGAAAAATTTAGACGCTATTTACTATTTTATAATGTGATGTGTATTCTCAATAATACATTTTGACAGCTAACTTAAAAAGCATCTGATTTACAGCCAGTCTTCCTGGGTGACCTTATTAATAGACCTTGAGCGTAATAAAATCACAGTGGCAATGCTTAATAGGCAACAAATTTGAGTTAAAATCTTATTTTTTTATTATAAAACACACACCAAATTTATAAACAAGTCATTGACAGTCATTTGAAATTATCTCAAAACCCGTGTAAATAACCTTAATTTATTTTTAGGATTTCCTACCTCCATAAAACAGCGTATCTAAATGCGCTATAAACATGGCGCCATAAATAGGTAGTCCATTTAGCGCAGCTGATGACTTGATTAACTGTCAAAGTGCATAATTTCCGCTTGAATTCGATGTGCACTGTTGCCAACCATGTGAAATATTATAAGGAAACATTTGACAGATGGTCGAGACAAAAACAAAGGTTTTTAGTTTGATATATCACTTTATTATTGCATCAAGGTCTTTTTGACATTAGTTCTGAAGAAACAGCTGACTTTTGCTTGCTGGGTGACCTTATTAATAGATCTTGTTGTCATACGTCACCCGGGGACATGATGCAATAATAAGATGATGCATCAAAACAAAAAAAACTTTGTTTTTGTTACGAACATGGCACAATAAATATGTAGTCCAGTTAGCTCAGCTGATGGCTCGATTAACTGTCGAAGTGCGTAGCATGGCACAATGAATAGGTAGTCCATTTAGAGCAGCTGATGTCTTGATTAATTGTCAAAGTGAGTAACATGGCACAATGAATAGGTAGTCCATATAGCGCAGCTGATGTCTTGATTAACTGTCAAAGTGGATAATTTCTACTTGAATTCGTTGTGCAGTGTTGCCAACCATTTGAAATATTATATGGAAAATTTTGACAGATAATCGAGACAAAAACAAGGGTTGTTGTTGTGATACATCACCTTATTATTGCATCATGGTGCGTAATTTCTACTTGAATTCGATGTGCAATGTTTTCAACCATGTGAAATATTATAAGGAAAAATTTGACAGATCGTCGAGACAAAAACAGAGATTTTTGTTGTGATACATCACCTTATTATTGCATCACGGTGCGTAGTTTCTACATGAATTCGTTGTGCAATGTTGCCAACCATGAGGAATATTTCAATGAGAATTTAATCAAAACATTTGACAGTGCTGTTGAAAAAAACAAATACAGATGATAACGAATTAATAATAAAATGGAAGAAAAATAATTTATACAAGTTACTTGAAATTATTGTTTATTAAATAATAAATTGAGGCACAACCTAAAATTTTCTGTCAGAAAATGAAAACTGTTTCTAACGCTAAGTTGGTCGTTAGAATGGATTATTGTGACGTCAATATTTTTGACATTATATTTATGAAAAAAACAGCTGTTTTTTGTTTCTAGGTGATCCTATTAAGAGGCCATGTACATTGTTTATTCCCGTAGTTTATGGTAAAAAAATTCCCTTTGATAACCTCTTCAAATTAGGATTTAAAACATAATCACCAATATCACCTTCTTTCAAATAAAAAAAATTTTGAATTTGCGTGATAACAATTTTGTGCTAGATGTAGTAGTATTAGTAATAGTATTGAATACACCATAACAATATTTGAAATGTTGCTTAAAGATATTCATAAAATACTATCCAATAGATGGCATTTAGACTGGCAAATAACGCGGGAAACAAAACGCGTGATGTTCGATCAATGTAGATGGCTCGTTTGAGACGTTGCTGTTGGGGTGTCAATTTCGGTTTGGGTGGTTCAGGCGATGGTGGTTTTGGTGGCGGTGGTGGAGCAATTCCGGGTGTTAGAATTATACGCGACTCCTGCCGGGGAATCCATGGACCGTCGGCATCAAGTGGTGGCCGCATAACACGTCGTGTATGTGTATGGGGAACCTGTAAATAAAGTTTAGATTTCTTTTTTCAATTTTACGGACCTTGAAACAGTTTGTTGCGACATTCCCCTGACTTACCCTCTTATTTCGTGTCATTTCATCGAATATTTTCTCAATTTTCTCATCGGTCAATGGTGGCTTGGGTGGTGGTTCTGGTGCCGTTTTCTTTTCCGGTTCTTTTTTCTCTTCCTCCGGTTTAGGTTTTGGAGGATATGCTATAGGTTTGGGTATCGGGGTGTCACTTAGCACGATATTGATGAGACAATATTCCATGAGGGCCATAAACACGAACACCGTACAAACGGACATAAAAGCATCGACCGCTTTCAAATAGGAGACTGGCGGCAGCGATGATTGAGACTTCGCATGCTGAGTAGATAGGGTTAGCAGCGATGTTACACCCAGTGTAACCCGGGCCGGAGCCGCCTCCGGTTTAATCCAAAATGATACCCATGACATAATGACAATCATACATGTCGGGATATAGGTATTGAAAACATAGTAAACTAGACGTCTCTTCAGAGTGAAAACTACTTCGAGGCATGTAAAATTACCCGTCGAATAGACTTGGGTACAATCGGCTGTTTCATTGCGTATCAATGCCACCTGAGGCAGTTCAATGTTTTCGTCCACCACCAGTGGTGTTGTGGGATCCCATTGAAAAATCATGTCATCTGTGGTATGGGATACTGGAAAAACAAATCATCATCATCATTATTATAAAAACAAATCGGTAAATTTTTAAAACACTCACAACTTTCCATTTGCAGTTTACACTCCTGCGTATCGTGTGGATAAATCGCGAAATTCATAATACACGACAGCTTCAGTGTCAGCTTGACCATATAAAGTATCGTCTTATCCTTATAAAGCCACATATAATGATTGGGTATCGTCATGGTTTGAAATGTCACCGATTTGGCATTTTTAAAGAACGAATCGGGACGCCAAACATTTTTTAACCAATCCACTTCGAGCAGACGGTATTCAGTTGTCATATTCTCTGGTAACCGCAAACGATGATCTTTCCATGTTTGTGCAAAAAATATATCCGCCACATAGGTCATCGAATTCTCATCGATAGAATCTAAACCCATAACGGTAACATGAAAATATACTATACACGGTTGACCCTCCTTCTTGGGCGGTCGCATTTTATCGTAACGTTTTATGTCTTCGGGTAAAATATCTGTGATCGCTAAACTATGTCTGAAATGAGAAGGAAGATGTTTTTGTTAATAATTATTTTAATTTAATGCAAGGAAATACTTACTGAAATTCTCCTCTAACAAAATGTTCCAGACTTATTGAAAGTAATACAAAAAGAACAGATTGGGCACCCATTGCTGTAAGAGAACATAAAAAAATGTATTTAGGGAATGTTTATATCATCGTTATATTGATCCCCGTGGTGCCACCTAGGGTAGCTATTTTCCGCGTGCCGCGAGTTCACCTATAAGAACTATAAAAAAATTGGTTGAGGCGTCGGGTTAGTTGCCCACACTCGGAAAACCGACGCTATTATGAAAAAGCAAAGAAAAATAAAATCAAACCCACCTAATGTTGACGACCCCGGCAAACGTATAAAGGACCACGATCTGAGAATCTGCACTTGGAATGTGCGCACGATGTACAGAACAGGCGCAGTATTCGCTTTGGCGGATATACTCAAGAAGTACAAAGCCGATATTATTGCCTTACAGGAAATGCGGTGGAAAGGGACTGGCGTAAGTATATCAGATGAATACGCCCTGTATTATAGATGCCATGAAACGAGACGCGAATTTGGCTGCGGATTTATGGTTAGAAGGATTATAAAAAACCTCGTCTCCAGATAAAGCGAATTGCTATGATCCGTATAAAAGCGAAATTCTTCTACATCAGTCTCATTTACGCCCATGCTCCGACTGAAAATAAAGATGAACAGACCAAAGACATATTTTACGAGCGCCTAGAAACAGCATATGACCGTTGCCCTGGTCATGACATTAAAATTCTGCTAGAAGATTTTAATGCAAAAATCGGAAGGGTAAATATTTTTGGCCCCACCGTCGGAAAATTCAGCCTCCATGAAGAAACATCAGACAACGGCATGAGGTTGATTGACTTCGCGGCAGCAAAAACGTGGTAGTTAGCAGCACCAGATTCAAGCATCTCGATATACACAAGGCCACCTGGATTTCTCCTGATCAAGTACCGAGAAATCAAATTGATCATGTTGAGATAGACGGAAGGCATTCATCCAGTGTTTTAGACGTCCGATCGATCCGAGGAGCGAATATCGATTCGATCCATTACCTTGTGGCAGCCAAGGTACGCACCCGTCTTAATGTAGCAGCAAAGGTGCGATCTACTACAACACGGAAACTCGACGTCGAAAAGCTGCAAACACAACAGGTAGCCGAGGCCTACTGCGCTCAACTTACCCATCTGCTTGATGAAAGCACTTCTTGTCCCGATAATAGTATAGAAGCACAATGGCAAAGAATTGCCCACTCCCTACAAACTGCAGCAAAAAGAACAATTGGGTACCAAAAACCACCACCAAGAAACCCATGGAGTGTCGTAATGCTACTGATGTGAAAAACGCAGCGTATAGGGGCAATCCTGCAGACAGTAGCAACACGTAATGCGATGGGGAATTATCAGGAGAAAAGGAGTGAGGAGAAACGTATTTTCAGAAAAAAAAAACAAGAAGAAAAACGTAAGCATGAGCAAATCGAGATGTACAGGAGTCAGAATGAAGTCCGGTAAATTTTACCAACGAGTAAAACACCAAACCAAAGGCTTTGGTACAGGCACATCCTCCTGTAGATATGAAGAAGGAAACCTGGTGACAGATACTGACAGCGTGTTGAGGATCTGAAATAGTGGTGGTGAAAAAGATACCCCAGAACCAATAAGAGATGAAGGTACGACGAGTGTATACCACCTAGGCAAGATGAGGTCAGGGTAGCAATTAATTGGCTGAAGGATTACCAGCTGAACTATTCAAGACCGGTGGTAAGATGCTGGTCAGGAGCTTGCACCAGCTGATTAGTACAATTTGGCTAGAGGAATGCATGCTCAATGATTGGAACCTTAGCATCCTGTCCGAGCACAAAAAAAAGACAAGGCGATATGTGCCAACTATAGAGGAATAAGTCTCCTTGCCTTCCTTCGCATATAAAGTGCTATCCAGCGTGCTGTGTGAACGACTGAAGCCAATGGTCAATGACATTATTGGACTATACCAATGCAGCTTCAGGCCTGTCAAATCCACCATTGACGAGATTTTCACTCTGCGCCGAATCCTGGAAAAGACCGACGAAGAACACATCGACACATACCACCTATTCGTTGACTATATAACCGCATTCGACTGCCCTATCCGTTCAGAGGTGTTTAAAGCCATGTCTACGTTCGGCATTCTTGCAAAATTAATACGTTTATGCAGGATAACTTTAAGTGGCACAAGGTCAGCAGTTAAAGTCGGAAAGGACCTCTCGGAGCCCATTAATACTCAACGAGGATTCATACAAGGTGACACTTTGTTGTGTGATCTGTTTAACATCCTGCTGCAAAAGGTCATACGAGATGCAAATGTGAACAGAAATGGCACACTGTACACCAAACAGCATATGTTACTCGCCTACGCCGATGACATACCGCCATAAACGAAACTAATAACACCAGCTTTGACATCCGGAGGAGAATAGTGTTGGCCAACATATGCTACTATGGTCTGAGTAAGCAACTTAAAAGCAAGGCCACTTCTCGCCAGACCAAACTCACACTCTACAAGACGCTGTTATTACCCGTGCTGTTGTATGGATCTTAAGCATGGGTACTTGCGCAAGCAGATGTGGCCGCTCTTGGAGTGTTGGAGAGAAAAATTCCCCGGACGAATGAACCATGAGCTATGCCATCTATTCTCGGACATCGACATAGTCGCACGGATCGAGCTGCAACGACTACGTTGGCTAGGCCATCTTGTGAGAATTGATGAAGATGCCCCAGCTCAAAAGGCATATAAAAGCGAGCCAAGTGTTGGTTCACGCAGAAGGGGAAGGCCACGAATCCGATGGAAAGATCAAGTAGAAGACAACATCTCGGAAAATTGTCTTTCAAATTGGATGAGATGAGCAACGATCTTGGAAATTTAGTTATCGGCTTATTGGACAACCGTTCTGTCATAAGCCAGCTATGTAATAAACAATACCCCTTATTAAACCGATGTATATCGTATGCAATATACATAAAATGTTTCAGTAAAAATTATATAAAAACCATATGATACCATATATACCGACCATATGATACCATACACAACATCCATGAAAATCTAACTTTGCGTTATTTGCACCCTCTTGACAACCTACTAAAGGTCAACAAATATTACTAACATTCAGTAGACGAGGGCTGTACTTGTCCAGATTCTCCTTACCGTAGGTTATGTTGTGATGTTGGGCTTTCAATACAGATCGACTAAAAAAACACAAAAAGTTAAGTTTTCGGTCCACTTCATCCCCAAATTTTTATCTGATCATCACCGAAAATTATAGGCATTGTCCTTGACCATAATTGGAATCTCATGGAACATTTCAAAGCTATATTTCCACCATCTAGTGTGGTAATGGGTTACTAAATAATGTCTGAATACGTAAGCATCTGTAAATATTTAAGTGTAACTCCCACATCTGAGGACATACGACCATATAATTGGTATACATTTAAAGGTCAACCACTCCTCTTGAACGTACTATCAACTTCTCGGGTCTAGGACATTCAGGCGCAAATATATACGATATAGAAGACAAATTTTGCAATTTTTCACACAAAAGTCAGGGTCCATTTGACTCGCTAAATATTGACCGATCTTTATCAAAACAGACATGCTTTTTCGTTGACCCGATCCCCTTCTCCATGTAAAATTTCACGATGTTTGGACTCGAGAAGTTTATATTATATCCAAGAGGAGTGGTTGACCTTTAAAGTAATACCAATTATATTGTTGTATGTGCTAGGAAGTGGGAGTTACACCTAAATATTTACAGGTATCTCCGTATATTATTTAGTAACCCATTATCACTCTAGAGAGCGGAAGTATAGCGCTGATCGCTTTGAAAAGTTCCATGAGGTTCCAGTTATGGTCAAGAACAACGCCTATAATTTTCGGTGATGATCAGATAATAATTTTGAATGAAGTGGACCGAAAACTTAATTTTTTGTGTAATTTTCGAGTCGATCTATAGACCACAAATGAAAGCCGAACATCACAACACAATCCACGGTGAAGGGAATCTGGACAATAGCTGTACTGAATACTCGTAATATTCGGAAAATATGCCAGTGTGAAGAAGAGGTGCTGTTTACCTCTAATCGGGAAAGAGGGTGCAAATATCGCGAAATATTGCCCAGGCTCGGAATAAACATCCGCAGAAAATTTGAGTTCCGTGGAAGTTGTGTAGGGTATCGTATGGACGGCCCCGTCCGACTATACTGCTCCGCTCACTGGTTTTTTTAATAGATTCATTTTCATTGTCTCTGTAGTGGAAATATAAGTATAATTTCCATTTTATTTAATTATGTATTTGTCCTTTCCCTACATGTTACCACAAGGCGAATGAATAATATTCGAGGTTAGTATTAAATATCACTCATACGCAGCCATGTACGACGACCTTAACAACATTTCAATATCATCCTTCAAAAATGTAATGTCACATCATTCATTATTCGATTATTTATTTACATTCTATTCCATTTCTTTTCAAATATAAAAATAAAAGTCAACAAATCCATTGTCACCTTGTCTTTAACATTGAATTTCATCAAATATTAAATAAATAAAATAAAAAATATATAGACAAAAAGCATCAATACACATGCCCACATAGATACGTAAACAGGAAAACACTTATCTTTGGTCACCGAAAAATCAACAACAACAACAACAAAAATTATAAGTACGTGTGCGACTACGAATCGAGAGAGAAAGAAAAAGAAATCATTGTCAATTGTAATCACCTTGACGGCCCGCCGTCATCATCATTCGTTAATACACTAACGGTTTCAAAAAAAAAACGTTATATTTCACAAAAAATAAAAATCTGAACAAGAATAGTAACCACCCACTCATACACAGGCACTCGTAAATACTATACGATGTTACACATGTTTCCTACTACGTGAATATTTGGTTGTAAAAATATTCAGACCATGCTAATGATGACGATTATAAAGCTAATAATGATGCTGTGACAGGCAGACTCACAGACAGACAATTGGCACTACCTTCAGTCTGGTACTTGTGGCCCGTTTTTTCCTCTTCGTCTTTTCTTCTGGTTGTTTTCATTTTGTAT